TATTGCACGGAGGAGAAGGTCTGTGTCTACCTGACCTTTGGGTTCCGCGAATCGAACGCTACCTTCCCCAACGGCACCTGCGATCGTTTGGCCGAACAGATACAGTCCGACCTCCTCAATTCAAGCGCATCCTACATCTTGCGGCCCCCAGTAGTTCCACAGATCACTTGCACATCAGACTTTATCAAGGTTTGCTTAAACTTGGACTTGTATGCTAACGCTACAAAGCTGCATCCCGTGGTTGGTGAAAATGCCGGTCGCTGGTTGAATTACGCTCTCACCTCCACGTGTGCGGCAAGTCGCTCCAAGTTCAACCTTACAATTGCGGTCGGAGGGGATGGCGACTGGAAGAATGGCAACGTCTCATTCCGTTGTTTCAATGCGTCAGATGTACTGCCGTGCCAAGGGTCTGATCAGAATGTGACCTGCAAGTGAGTCGAGCAAACCTACTGGAGGGGGTCAAGCACTGTGTGGCGGAGGGGAGTAAACATGTCTGTTGTCTGAGGAAATGTGGGACTGCATGCATGACGACGCGGATGCATGCACGCCTGCATGTACGTGTCGGCAGCTACGTCTTTATGAAATAACGGTTTGAATTGGATTTTAGCAGCATTGTGCCCTCACATGATTATCCTTCCAGCTGTACCACCCTGCTCTCGCCACCTATCCCTTTCCCTCGCTCCCTCTCCTTCCTCCGCAGCTGCAACATGACGAGGAACATCACCCCCTTCGCCGCCTTGCCGACTATGAGCGGTCCATTCACGGGCCGCAAGAACACGAAGTTGTACTGCTTCAACATCACCCTCGTGAAGCCCATTGAGCCAAATGTGGGTCGCAGCGCTCGCTGGCGCCGCCGTACACCGCATGATAGCATGTGCATGTCCTGGTTGATGTATGTATGTATGTATGTGGCCATCTACTGACTGCGACACGAGCACAATAGTAGTGCCACATTGACGGATACATCGATTACGCCTTTACGTACAGATGTCTAAATGGTGCATGCGGCACAGCGGCCACATCTTCCTCCAGTAGCACTCCATTACGGTTTTCTTGCTATCCAATCCCATCCCTCTCATATCCCCCCTTTACAGAGCACCTGCGGTAAAAGCAATCTGCTCGATAAGGTCATCATCTGGGCCGACGACACCATTTACCGCAGCAGCATCAAGTCCATTGCTCTCTACGCTGCGGGCGACACCTCCGCGAAGTATGTCGTGCCGAACTGGAACAAGTTTGGTAGCCAGCAGGTGAAGGCAACCGGGATCGGCTGGACTAACGATAAGGCGAACGGCGGAGCCATCTGCCTGGAGCTGGACCAAGACGTCGACCTGTCTGATTTTTGCTTGTGGCGGTTTCCCCAGCAGAAGAACTCTTGCATGTAAGGGCCTGGGGATTTGTTTGGGGGCTGCCTGCATGCTTGTCATGCCGTGTTGGAAGCCATGAAATGGGAACCAGTACGTCTGGCGAGGATGTTGGAACGTATGTGGGCTCACCGAAACTCACTGGACGCTGGTCTAGGCTGATGTGCGGTGTTTCCTGTTCTCCGTGGCTTTTAGGCGCATCCTTGGGCCTTCGGCTCGTATGGGTAGTTTTACAGGTATCGGGTCACGCACCCCCAACCATGTAAAACACACACGCATGTCATGCCGTGTGCATGCATGGCGGGATGTGAGTGTGCGCGAACTAGGCGGCACTCAGTCGCCATCCCGGCTGCAGAAATGCATGCATGCACCTAGCTAGACTATTTACGCGGGCTTCCTTGCACATGGTTGAAGAGCTCTCCAATGGCACCCTAGCCTTGCACTAGCTTAGCTTTTTTACTGCTTAGAGGTGCCTCTGGCCGAGCGTCCTGTCTTTCTACCTAATTTTGTGTCTTCCATGCCCATGCCCATCTTGCTTGATGCAGGGTTTCCCTTTTCGATACATCCTATAAATGCTGCCCGACGTACCGGCCGATGGCGCTTACTACGTAGATGCCTGCGATTACAGCTGGCCAGCATCTAGTCTTGTGCGAAGCATACATGGGGTCTTACGTTGGACCACTAACCTGGTGAGAATGGATGGTAGGATGTAGACTATTTGGTTTGCAAGTGTGCTTTGGATAAAACCCATGTTGGTTGTTCCTAAACTCGTGCACGATGCTGCCCGTGAACAGGGCAGGTAAGGTTGTGTTTTTGGAAGTGTTTGGAATTACATGGAGGTTATCCCTAGGTTTCAGTGATTAACAGTGCTTGAACAGTCATGTCTGGTTTGCGGCTTGTTTGTGTGTTCCTGCCTGTCCTTACCGGCCGTGTTGCCTGCTGGACCTGCCGCTGCTGCGATGCCTACCCGTACGATTTCGTTAGGACGAAATTCATTTCGTTGTGCAGGTCGCCTTTCTTACTTTTTCAATTTTTTGTGTCAGAGGTGCTTGCTTCCTTGCAGCAGGTGGAAGTGATCACCTCGCCGCAGTTTCAATCATTTAAATACCCCCCCACGTCGCGCAATGATGTGGGGTATCGTAGGCTGCTTTATGCAGCCTCGTTAACTTATTGGATCACACCTGCGGTCATTCATAAGCGGAGTCAAAGTGAGCAAGCACGCCTGGTCGGTCAGGTTTTATAATATGCTGCTTGCTGCTCAAGTTTTACAAATGCCTTCAGGTTTTATTATATGCTGCTTGCTGCTCAAGTTTTACAAATGCCTTTGCTTAAATTGTATAGCGCGGGTATGCTTTGCTGATTGCTGCGGGGGTCGCTGTCATGCAATCGTTTTGTGCGTTGCGCGCGACAGGCAGAGAGTGAAGCGTATTGGCGAGGAATGTCCTGTTCGGTTTGGGCAGTTCGTTTAGGGCGGTTCCTACACATTATCTGCCGGGTGATGGATATGCTTTGACTTTACTAAGTAAATATGAGTGTTGAGAGGCAAGTAGTTGATAAGGAACTGCCGTGTGTATGCATATGATACAGGTGGCTGGCAGAGATTATTGCATGATTTCTGCTCCCGGTAGTTCCGGGTTCAAATTTGACTGCCTGTGTTTCGGTGTGTGAGGGGAGATGGACCATTTTGTGGACGGTGTTGGATGTGATTATAGCAATATGCGCGCTGACCAGGAACTAAATTGTTGCACCGTTTATCCGCTAGATTGGGTTGGATGCTGATGGTGAGTTGCTGAACCCAACGAATACATTCTGAAGTCGGATGGGGTGAATGGATAAGGGCGCCCCTCTCGCAGGGGAGAGCAGGGAACTGCCTCGGGAAAGGGGGCCGCTGGTGAAGCTATACCACCCAGTAACAACATCATACGACCCAGTACAGCAAGGGATGCCAAGCTTCTATTTGGGTCCCACAGGCGCATTGGTTCTTTAACCGCCCTTGTTCTGACTATTACCAAGAGGTGTGCTGGGACAGTGACCTCTAGTTTTCCCTCCACCCACCCAAGCAATCCAGGGATTGCCGCGATGCAGTTGTTGCTGGCCTTGGGTGGGTCACTGGTCTTTGGCCCTCTTGGCCCTGTTTGGGCCTGAAGGTTTTAACGGTGCAAACAGGTAACTTTCATTACTTTTAGCGACTATTGCAACATTCACAATAGGTTGGTGTTGGGAGGGGGTTTCGCAAGCGGTTTGTTACTACCCAGCCAAGCTATTGGCTGGCTACTGTAACGCGGAGCAATAAATCGGTGTGTAGGTCGTAGGAAATTTCTCCCGCCTGCCATCCCCCAACATTACCGTGTAACAGAATCGGTGGCCCATTAGTATATCAACTCCTGTGCAACGCCCAACCTTGTTGCCACCACTCCTGCTTGAAGTACGGCATCACTGCTTGATCGGTCGCGTCCTTGTGCCTATCCTTCTGGAACAGCCGCTCGTCCAACATTGCTTGTGCCACTGCTGATGGTTCCCCCAGAAATGAGGCTGAGCAGCCCAAACCGCTCCTTCGTGATTGCCGCTTCCGACAAACCTGCACTTTCCCTACGACCACCCGCTGCAGCACGACTCGCCGTATCTTCTCGTGTGACAGCAACCCCTCCCGAGACTCAGCAAAAATCCTTGCGCTGCGTTTTGTGGCCATCACAGTCCCTGAGTCCCCCAGCGAAAAGGAATAAATACGCGCTAAGCGCGTCCACCAGCATCTCGAGAGGCCTTTTCAGCAGCCAGCTAATACAGGCTCCTTGCGACTCTGCACACTGACTCCCGAGCGCCGCTTCACTGTCATGCGCACTACTGCCTTGCAAAGCATGTGTTTTGTCGGCTGGTTCGCCAGCCCCTCCATTTGATCGTATGCGGCGATTGCCGCGCCATCTGTAGATGCTTGAATCAAGGTGTTTAAACGCGGTATCCTGCTTAAACTCTTCCTGCCGTGCGATAATGCACGGTACTGCAGAAATGGTCAGGGTGTACAGCTTTTTTTATTTATAGTTTTACTTCAGTTCATCATGTACCCGCTGTAAAATTGGAGGGGTTTATAGGGGTTAACATACGCACTTGCATAGCCACCGCCTCGCGCCTGTATGGCAGTGTGTGTTTCCGTGTCACGGCACCCTTGGGGGACCCCCCAGCCAAAATTAAGGTTACTGAACCAGTCACACGATTACATTGCGATACAGCTTCATGATAAGGATTACGACACGGCCAACAGGATTAGGATACACAAGGCAGTCTCCAGGCTCTTTCACCCCGTTCCACCACGTGTGCGCGGGACTTATTTAATTGTAATGTTACAGAGTGGGAGGCTTCTGGGCCGCTTTATCACATTGTCAGTTCTACGATCATTTATCACCTTATAGCACCATCCACCGCTACCACACTGTACTTCGCCATACGAACTGTAAGTCCAAGGCGGCGGGTCCAGCCGTCTAGGGCCCCTCCTCATCCATTCACCCGAACAACCGAAGAGACGGAGGGTTCGGCAATCGCCACCAATCCAGCATGCGAATCTGGTCCATCAACTGCGACATCAACTCCACATCTCAGCAGCTAGCCATAATCTCGCGCTCCCGACTAATTCGGGGGTCTCCCCAGGAATCGAACCCAGGACCTTAAACCGCGAATCGCAGTAGCGGGACTTATAACTTGCAACTTTAGTTTGTGCCATCGAAATGGCTCCCTGAGCTCCCGTGCACCCGTAACATGGGCATGCTAACATACACGACATTTGTCACCGCTCACAGGTATATAGAATGAACTGTCCAGGTACTCTTGTGAGAACTTCGACCGGCAAAAGAGGAAGACCCACAACCATAACCATAAGAGTTGGAACAGCCACCACCCTGTCATGAAAGTGGCCCTGATAATCGTCAGCAATGGACGCCGATCTGGAGCCCGCCCCTCACATGGTTATTTCAAAGCTTCGGATTTAGTTTCTTCTTCGCTCAAGCATGGTGACCATGGTGACAATGTTTATTACCCCTCTGGGATCATCAATTTCAACCATGAAATGACTTAGATCTTTGCTGAAAACATATTTGGGGATAAGGTTGGGTTGCGTGTACAAAATCATTCGCAGTAATCATGGCTGCAGGATAAAGGACATGAGAGCAGTATGCTTGGCCTATCTTGGACACGATGGACTCAAGGATTTTGTTGGATTATGTTACACGATAACGTTGGGGGATGGCAGGCGGGAGAATTTTCCTACAACCTCCACACCGATACATCCATCACCCGGCAGATGATGTGTAGGAACCGCCCTAAACGAACCACCTTAACTGAACAGGACATTTCTCGCCAATACGCCTAACACTCTGCCTGTCGCGCTCGCAGTATTACAACGCACAAAACGATTGCAGGAAGGCGACCCCAGCAACAATCAGCAACGCGTACCTCTGCTATACAATTTAAACAAAAGCATTAGTAAAACTTGAGCAGCAAGCGGAATATCATAAAACCTGGCCGGTCGGGCGTGCTCGCGCACTTTGATTCAGCTTATGAGTGAAGCTGCTACGATCCAATAAGTTAACGAAGCTGCATAAAGCAGCCTACGATACCCCACATCATTGCGCGACGTGGGGGGGTATTTAAATGATTGAAACTGCGGCGAGGTGATCACTTCCACCTGCTGCAAGGAAGCAAGCACCTCTGACACAAAAATGTAAAAGAAAGAAAGGCGGCCCACATAACGAAATGAAATTCTTCCTAGCGAAATCGCACGGGTTAGGCATCGCAGCAGCGGCAAGTCCAGCGTGCAACACGGCCGGTAAGGACAGGCAGGAACACAAAAACAAGCCGCAAACATGACTGTCCAAACACTGTTAATCACTGAAACCTTGGGATAACCTCCATGCAATTTCAACCTCCATGTAATTCCAAACACTTCCAAACGCACAACCTTACCTGCCCTGTTCACGGGCAGCGTCGTGCACAAGTTAAGGAACTACCAACATGGGTTACATCCAAAGCGAACTCGCAAACCAATAATCTACATTCTAATATGCAACACATAAATCGCCCAATTGCACAACCTTACATAGGGCTTCCTTGCCTCACCAGGTTAGTGCTCCTACATAGGACCCCATAGGACCCCATGGTTCGCACAAGACTAGATGCTAGCCAGCTGTGACGACAGCATCTACGTAGTAAGCGCCATGGGCCAGTACGATGGGCAGCATCTATAGGATTTATCGAAAAAGGCGAACCCTGCATCCAGCAATATGGGTATGGGCACGGAGGACGCACAATTAGTTAGGTGGGTAGGACGCTCGGCCCAGAGGCGCCTCTAAGCAGCAGAAAAGCTAAGCTAGTGCAAGGCTAGGGCGCCGTTGGAGAGCTCTTCAACCATGTGCAAGGAAGCCCGCGTAAATAGTCTAGCTAGGTGCATGCATGCATTTCTGCAGCCGGGATGGCGACCGAGTGCCGCACACTCGGTTAGCACACACTCACGTCCCGCCATGTATGCACACGGCATGACAAGCATGCAGGCAGCCCCCAAATAAATCCCCAGGTCCTTACATGCAAGAGTTCTTCTGCTCGGGTAACCGCCATATGCAAAAGTCAGACAGGTTGACGTTTTGGTCCAGCTCCAGGCAGATGGCTCCGCCGTTCGCCTTATCCTTAGTCCAGCCGATCCCGGTTGCCTTCACCTCCTGGCTACCAAACTTGTTCCAGCTCGGCGGGACATACTTCGCGGAGGTGTCGCCCGCAGCGTAGAGAGCGATGGACTTGATGCTGCTGCGGTAAGTGGTGTCGTTGGCCCAGATAATGACCTTATCGAGCACATTGCTTTTACCGCAGGTGCTCTGCAAAGGGGGGATATGAGAGAGATGGGATTGGATAGCAAGAAAACCGTAATGGAGTGCTACTGGAGGAAGATGTGGCCGCTGTGCCGCATGCACCATTTAGACATCTGTACGTAAAGGCGTAATCGATGTATCCGTCAATGTGGCACTACTATTGTGCTCGTGTCGCCGGCAGTAGGTGGCCACATACATACATACATACATCAACCAGGACATGCACATGCTATCATGCGGTGTACGGCGGCGCCAGCGAGCGCTGCGACCCACATTTGGCTCAATGGGCTTCACGAGGGTGATGTTGAAGCAGTACAACTTCGTGTTCTTGCGGCCCGTGAATGGACCGCTCATAGTCGGCAAGGCGGCGAAGGGGGTGATGTTCCTCGTCATATTGCAGCTGCGGAGGAGGGAGAGGAAAGCGGGAGCGAGGGAAAGTGTAGGGGGAGAGAGCAGGGGGGTACAGCTGGAAGGATAATCATGTGAGGGCACAATGCTGCTAAAATCCAAATCGAACCGGTAGCTCAGGAAGACGTAGCTGCTGACACGTACATCCATGTGTGCATGCATCCGCGTCGTCGTGCACGCAGTCCCACATTTGCTCAACGCCAGACAAGTTCGCATGCTAACTCCCCACCGCCAGACAGTGCTTGTCCCCTCCCACCAGGTTTGCTCGACTCACTTGCAGTTCATTGGCGGATCAAGCCCTTGGCACTTGTTTGCATATGACGCATTGAAACAACGGAATGAGACGTTGCCATTCTTCCAGTCGCCATCCCCTCCGACTGTAATCGTGAGGTTGAACTTGGAGCGACTTGCCGCACACGTGGAGGCGAGAGTGTAATTCAGCCAGCGACCGGCATTTTCACCAACCACGGGATGCAGCTCTGTAGCGTTAGCGTACAAGTCCAAGTTTAAGCAAACCTTGATAAAGTCTGCTGTGCAAGTGATCTGTGGAACTACTGGGGGCCGCAAGATGTAGGATGCGCTTGAATTGAGGTCGGACTTTATCCGGTCAGCCAAATTATTGCAGGTGCCGTTGGGGAAGGTAGCATTCGATTCGCGGAACCCAAAGGTCAGATAAACACAGACCTTCTCCTCCGTG